GCGGGGGAGTTCCAGCCCCAGGCGCGTGGCGCTTGGAGGGGGCACCGGCCCCAGGCGCGCGGCGCTTGACGGGGGGGCGCTGGCCCCGGGCGCACGACTATGGGGGGAGGACCGCCCCGCCCCTGGGCGCGCAAGTGTCCCCACCCTCTGGCGCCCAGCGGGCAAACGGCCACACCCCCTGGTGCCCAGCAACCTCCAGTGGTTGGGGACCACTGTTATAGACTAACTGAAGTGTTGGAGCATAAGCTTTCGTGGGCAAAGACCCACTTCGTCAGATGCATGTTCGTCACACTAACACGGCTACCCCTCTGATACTCTTCCTCTTTATATGTATCATCTTTTATTCCTGGGGGAATTCTGCAATTGTTTCATTTGCAGACATAGTAAAATTGCAGAATTCCTCCTGGAGTGATCTTTCATCCAAAGATCTGCAAGTGTTCTACAGACATTAATAGATTAAGCCTATAGTGAGGCAGGCATCACATGCATTTAACAATAAATAATAGGCATTTAAATAGTTGGCTGAGGTGTCATATCCAGAGTCAGGAAAAGAACCCTGAAGTCCTGATTCCCTAACCCCTGCTGTATTCAGTGTAATTACAGAGTAATTCCCTCCTAACTATTGATGTGATGTACGAAATCTTTTCTGTGCTGTGTCAGTTCACCTAAATTTGTGTGCATATTTGACCATCATCGATATTTGTACAAGTGGTTTGTTTAAAAGAGAAGAGAATGAAGGTGCAAAGTGGTCTGTGTTAAGAACGATAAGTGTATTATGCCCAAGACATGGATATAAGGACTCCTGATACTGACAGGAAAACTTCAATCTTGTGTATATTGTGGATTTTTGCATATATCTCACCCTGATTGTTTATTGCTGATTGAATTAGTAGAAAAATAAAACTTCTTTTTAAAGCAAGACAGTAGAACCTGAGAGTTATCAACACCTTTGGAATGAAGAGAGGTTGTTATAACTGTGAACAAAAACATTGTGGTGGTTCTTTCAGAATTTTACAATTGGACATGGACTTCCTACAGCTTTGAAACTTTACTATGCAGAAGAAAAAGTGCTGCTTTTAATCTTTTAAATTTAAATGAAACAATCATAGAAAGTTTCCTTATTTATCAAATCTTTTAAAATAATTTCCCCTTTTTATAGTAGCATATATTTAACACAATGTAGTAATGTATTTGCTTTTTTAAATTTGTCTCTGCTTATGGATTTCATACTACGAGTTCTAAATAAATTATGTGGTGGATTGGTCAGTTAACAACTTCTGGTATTCGTAACTCTGAGGTTCTACTGAATTGACATCCCCAAGTGTTCAAAAATGATTTAGATCCCTCAAAATGATGATGGCTTTAAAATCATACATTTTAAAAAATAATAAGTGTTGGGTTTTTTTTTCTTGCTGTTTCTGAGCAGTTAGGATTCACATGTTCAAGCTTTTTTCTTTCTTGTGCATGTGTGAGTGAAAATGAACGATGCTCTGTGTGTGTGTGCGTGTGTGTGTGTGTGTCTGTGCCTACGTTTTGAAACATGCATATCAAAAGTTCTTAGTCAGTAATGCAAACATATTTGATGACTAAGTACTTTTAAATTGTGCAGTAATAATAAATAAATATAGTATAGTTTCTACAACCTGCTTGCAGAATGAGTAACAGCAATCAGGGGACATGATTAATTACGTAGTATGGCATACCATGATTTTTAATACTTTATTTAACTAAGTCTTGTGTTTTTTATTTTGCCGTCATATTGGAACAAACAGCCTTCTGAAATATTCCTACATCAAACTGCCATAATCCTTGACATAATCCATTTAACAAATAAAGCTTTCCTGGTGTGGGATCAGTATTTAAGGTATCTTAATTACCTCTTTGATATGTCTGAAGCTGAAACCAGTCCATTACCAACTTGATAAGGAAACCACATTGATGTAGCTTTATATGGATAAAGCTATAGATTACTCTAAGGGCATGTCTACGCCTGGGGAGTTATTTATAAATACCTCCCCTTATTTTGAAATAACAAGGCAAATGTCCACATTACCAAGCCCATTATTTTAAAATAATGGGCTTGTTATTTGGAAATAATTCCTGCTTGTGGAAGAGGAATAGCTTATTTCAAAATAGTTTTTGGGAGTTATTTCAAAATAAGTTATTTCAAAATAACTCCCTAGTGTAGACATAGCCTAACTGAAGATAAGGTAGATCTGTTTTGTGTGATAGTTAAAAGATGAAATATTGGATTAATGGTCAAGCAGAAAAAGATGATGTTGACAATGTCATTTGAATTAAACTGGCACCAGTTTTTGTAACAGAAAGATCTAGCAAATCAGTAGAGTTAATTAGTAATTGTGTCACTATTAGTCATAAAATAACAAAATTAGTATATGAAAACATGAGATCAATGAACTTGAGTAATTAAAGAGCTCTTGAAAAGGGTCATAGCTGTTTAATACTGCCGCAATATTATCTTCATATGATGAGGTTATAAATAATATAAAATTACTATTTAAATTATCTGTGGTAGGAACCAGGATTCAGCTGCAAAATGTTACCATCACTTTCTCTCAGATTGTGCATATGAGACTGAATGTTTAAAATATTTGTCTTAATTTGGGAGGGTGATGGTTTACCTTCAGTATTATAACAACTTACAGTTTCATTTGTGGAATTTCACATATTGGTGCACATGTGTTTTTTGTTGTGCTGAGAAGAATAAATTACTTGGACTATGGAAAACTATTTCCTGCTTACTTCAACCAATACAGGGAAATTCTTGCTGGTTCTGTAATGAAAAGGTCTGTGTCTAATGTATAAAAGATCACAGTTTTAGTTCAAGATTGAAAAGTTTCGCTCATCCTACAAGTGAGTAGAGCTATGACTTTAAAAATAGACCTTATGAATGTTACCATTTCCAGTTTAGAAACCTTTGTTATGATCTGCCTTGGATCCCAGGTGAAGTGAGTTTGACTGCAGTTTTCCCTCCAAGAGAGGAGTATTTGTTCACTTCACAAAACCACTGCATAATTCAGCACAGTTAACTATTTCTGTTCTGGAAAAGCCAGAGCTGGAGTAACAGGAGTGTGTATTTGGAGGAGAGGTACTGCAGGAAAGAACTAAGGTACATTTGGGGCTCAAGACTAAAACTGGATAGTTTAGGACGGTTATTTGGCAGAACTATATGGGATTCAAGGCAGGAGTAACAAGAAGTGCTGCATGTCAGGTTTTAAGGAGCCAGAGCAGTATGTGAGAACCGTATGCAGTGCCTGCTTGCTTTTATAGTCATTTCTAACTATTACTTTTCATTTTAAGGATCAAATCCTCAGCTGGTGTGAATCAGTGGCACTTCATTGACGGGAGCGGAGACACACTGATTTACATCAGCTGAGGAGCTGGCTCAGACATTTTTATGAGAACAAAAAGTACAACAAAATGAAATTATCACTGTTTTTGTTTTTAGTGTAAAATGTGGTTTTGTCTGTTTCCAGAGTAACCCTGTATGCTCAAAATAGAAATGTGAATGCCCATATAGCTTTATACTTCTTTAATAGATAGTGTCTGTCTATCTATCTATCTATCTATCTATCTATCTATCTATCTATCTATCTATCTATCTATCTATCTATCTATCTATCTATCTATCTATCTATCTATCTATCTATCTATCTATCTATCTAAAAAAAAATGCATTTGCCACACAAAAGCGCAAGGCTGATACCTACCTGTAAACTCTTGTTGATACTGTTGTTGTAGAATCTATGTGATGTCATGACCTTGTTTACCAGTTTTGACTATTTAAGATGGCAGCCTGCTTTCAGCTCTGCAGCATTGCTAAGGCTGGAATGTTTGGAATCCCTCTAATGCAGTAGGCCTCCCATTCTAAATTTACTCTCCTTATGGTTATATGGTACCTCCTCTGTGGCTGCAGTGAGAGGCCCCTTTTTTATGACTCTTTTTTTCCCCTTTGGCTTGTAACCCTTTGTGTGCATTGCCCATTTAAAAAACATTCAGCTTTGGCTGATACAATGTACTCTTTTGTTGTTGCTGCTGCATAGGATCAAACTCTGAAATGAAATCCTGTAATTTAAATTGGTTTTATAAAGCTGCCCTTGGAAATTCAAGATCTTGGTGTCCTGAGCTGCCGAAAGGGGCCTCAACTCCAAGGCATCCGCAGGAAAACATTGCTTTAAAAGGAAAGCAGAAAAGTTAAACTCTTCTGAAACTGGCGATTAGATTTTTAAAAAACCATTATCACTTCCTATTACTGTAGCCAGCAGTAATTATTTGCTGTGAATAAAATACTCCGACTAATTAGGACTTATGCAGCTCTTTTATATTTGTGCGTTTGAAAGTACTTTACGAAGGAGAGTATGATTTCTCCCCTCCTCTCCTTATGCACATGGGAAGATCGAAGTGCACAGAGGTTAAAGTGAAAACCGAGACTAACCTGATGGCTTCCCCTCTACATGCTTTTGGCAGCTAGACTTCCAGATCTTTGAAGATGGGATTTTCAGAAGTGTCTAAGTGAGTTAGGAGCACAAGTCTTGTTGATTTTCAAAGGAACATGTGTTCCTGATTGCTGTGGGTACTTTTGAAAGTCACACCCTAAAGCAAAGAGAGAAATGGACAGAATCATTGAACAAATTATTTGAGGAGAAAAAAAGTGATTCTTCTAAAGGGCTGATAAAATATTAACCAGCATAAGATTTTAATTTTTGGCTTGTATCATTAACGTGGTTGCTTGATCACATAAAAGGGATCTATTTGGAGAATTAATATAGACCTACTAGGTACTAGAAAAGCGAGCTTAAAAGTACTAAGTGTTTTCTCTGTGAGGAAGGCAAAGTTATGTTTATTCTTTAAGTAGCAGGATATAGTATTTTGAGTGCTGTGCTCATGAGTTGCATATTTCAGAAGTCCCAATGTTTTGCTTTGTTTGTTAGCATACATCCAGAAAAATCAAATCCTTATGTACAGATTTAAAAAAATAATTGAAAACAACCCTACAGGACGTTCCTGTGTTTAAAAATAATTTACCAGAGCATTTTAATAATAATCCTTCATTTTGTTTCTAACATACTACATGTCCTATTTCCCTTATATGGATTGTTATTGCACTGTACGTGTGGGGGAGCCCACTAAAGCAACCTTTCTTTCTCTAAAGCTCTGGTTAGGATTTTACAATGTAAATTGACTTGATAATGTTGCAGTACTTCTTTCTTTCTCGTTTTCTCAGATGCAAACGTGACAAAAAACATTTACACATCAGCATTCAGAGATTTACTGGTCAGCATTCTGTCTCCATAGCACTGCTATCAAACTTCAGGATGTAAGATGATCGCTTGCAAAGGCTAGGAGTGAGTTTAACCCCCTTGTAAAGCAATGAACAGTGATGAATTATGGGTTTTGGTTTCTTACATTGTTTTTAGGGAATTGGGTATTGAACACTGCCAGAGTCAGAATACTGAACTAATCGTTTCATCCAGGACATCGGATCTTGTGTTCTTATTTTCATAGCATTTTTTCTGTTCATCATACTTTTGTAGTCCTCATTAGGGTACTATTTGCCTAACAATTGGTAATATATTATTCCTCACATTACCTTTTCAGGTAGGACAGGATTATCCTCATGTTTGCAGAATGGGACCTGAGGTCGCACAACACACTGAACCTGTGGAACTCCTTGCCAGTGTTGTGAAGGCCAAGATATAACAGGGTTCATAAAAAAAACACACTAGATACATTCATGGGTTAGCTCCATCAATGGCTATTAGCCAAGATGGACAGGGATGGCATCCCTAGCCTCTGTTTGCCAGAAATTAGGAGTAGGCAGCAGGGAATGGATCTCTTGGTGATTACCTGTTTTTTTTCTATAGACATTGGCCACTATTGGAAGACAGAATTCTAAGCTAGATGGTTTAACTCAGCTCCTTTTCTTTGCTATGGCATCTAAACTTCGCTTAAATCCTCTCCATAGTTTGCTTTGCTATATGTTTGTGTAACTTGGCACTCTGGTGGCTGCTTTTAAGGCAGGACTGGACCAGCATATCTCTCCAGGTCTCTGGGTCCATGCAGATGCAAAAGGCATGGCTGATGTAATGCTAAGAAGGGTACAAGACTCTAGGCATGTGTGATTGCAAACAAGTTTCTTCTAGCTACATACCAGTATTTAAACAGGAAGGTGACTTTTGATCAACTGGATCCCAAAGTATCATGAATATGACCAGTAGAAATTCCTATGGAAAGAGAGCGTGGTGCTGTAATTGTATACAGCAGCCCATAAAGTAACTTGTAAAAGGCCTTCCAAAAATGGCAAAAGCAATGGGGAGATATTTCCCCATTTTATTTTTAGGTAAGTATTAACAATCATGGGATGCATTTTTAAGAAAATCACTTTGATCTGTGGTCTCGCACTGTAAGCTAACAGGATGCTGAATTATTTGCTGACATTTAACAAAGTCTCCTGTTGAACTGAAGGCTACAAAAATGAGCTGTTACTGCCCTGGTTGTGATCTGCAAAAGTGAGTTTAACATCAGAAGGTAGATGCAGTTTTACTCTCTTAGGGTATGTCTACACTACCCCCCTAGTTCGAACTAGGGGGGTAATGTATGCATACCGAACTTGCTAATGAAGCCCGGGATTTGAATTTCCCGGGCTTCATTAGCATAAAGCCGGCGCCGCCATTTTTAAAAGCCGGCTAGTGCGGGGTTCGAACAAGCCGGCTTTTAAAAATGGCGGAGCCGGCTTTATGCTAATGAAGCCCGGGAAATTCAAATCCCGGGCTTCATTAGCAAGTTCGGTATGCATACATTACCCCCCTAGTTCGAACTAGGGGGGTAGTATAGACATACCCTTACTGTTTTAGGCCATGATTCTAGAAAAGGATAGGGGTACATAAGGGTCCACCCACTCAGACCCTTTTCCAGATTCAGAGTTTTATAATGTATGTAGCTACTTTCATAACAAAAGAAATGACCTTGTGAATTATTTTATCTATAGGACACCTTTATCCAGTAGATATATTAGCAGGTAATCCTGAAGTTCTCCAAGAAGCAACTGAAGCCTACTATGAAAAGCTTCTGCAGCAAGCTTCATCTCCTCCTGAGTTTTTTTCCATTCCTTGTGGAGAGAAGGTAATGTTACATTTCCCAAGTAGAGAGTGTGTTTATATATTGGTGAAAGGCTATTTCAAGTACTAGTGATCAGAATCTGTTTGAATATAGCAAGGCTAGTGTGAAAGGATAAAAACCATTTAAAGTTTCAGATTCAGTCAATCAGATTAAATATTTTACTCTTGCAGAAAAGAGATAAACTGAAACCAAAACACTAGATCTGGAAACTGCCAAAATTTGAAGTCCAAATCTGAATTTTGTGGCTGGACCCTAATGGAATCAACATTTAATTTGGAGGGAGTCTAGGACTGGATCCAAAACCTACAGCTCTTGGCCCATCTTGTGCTGGTCAGGCTAGAGATTCGTTTTTTCTATTGTGAGTCAGCAATAAACAATGAATTTTTCTAATATGCACTGTCATGCAAGCTCTGATCAGGAATGACTGACAGATTGAATAAAAATTCTTCAGTGATAAAGCTGCAGGAACAAATCCAGCATTGACCAACAGATGGGCAGTATATGACTAGATAGGTCTTTTTCATTTCTAACTTCAGTCACGTGGACCCTTTTCTATCAATGGAAGTTTCTGTAGGACTAGCTGTGTTTATATCATTAGTCAGTGCTGAAGCAATACCACTTAGTTGAAATAATGGTTTGTGTGGAATATGATTCTTCTAAACAGTTTCTGAAAACATTTTGGAGTAATTTCTAGAAAAAGCCTGTTGATACTGGGTGGGGTAACTTTCATGTTGAATGAGAAGTAGGGGTGACTGATCTTACAGTATTCTTTTAACGCCCTCTAGTGGACCAAGATCATAACTATCTGTAAGGTTAAATACAAAGACCCACAGAGCTAAGGCTCTTATTTTGTCCTTAGTTCAACTCCTTGGACTGGGTAACACTGCATCCTTGCCTTTCTGGTGCCCTGTTAGGGGAGTAGGGGCCTTAAAACACAAAGCAGTGCTACATCTCCACAATAGGTAAAGCTAAAGAATTAAGTTTTGGCTTCAAGTCTGAAGTATCTTGGTTTTGTGGATTATAGAGACACCTTAAATATTATTTCAGGCTTAATTTTGTGTTTAATTTTGTTCTTTTGTAATTTGCACACTCAGAACAATACAATTAACAAAGGGCATAAGTAACAAGAATTTTCTAGCTGTTTCTTTCTGTCCTATAAATGCTTCACTGTATTCTGATCTTTTGTATATCAAAAATAAACTGAACACCTCCAAGAAGAAAGTAAATACATGATCTTAACCTCAGCTACTCTTACTCTGGGATAATTTATACCTAAGAATTTAGGGATGAAGATTTCTGCAATTGACTAGCCCCTAGCTAGTTTGACAAGTCCCTGAGCCTTTCACTTCTGTAGATCTAGGTTAAAACCTGTTCAGGTGATGGGACCTTGTTATTTAATATATATTATAATGTTGTCATCCCATTTTGACACATTTAACAGCATGTCATGGTTGGGAGTCTTTGTTCAAGAGGATTATTGCATGTCAGGGTGGAAGTACGTTGGCATAGTTCTGTGCAGGGAAAGCTGGTCCTGCTATATGCCAGATTCATGCTAGCGCTGTTTCTCACTTTCACGAATACTAAATAATAACCCACAAATCAATATCATATAGTAGATTTGTGATTAAAAACAGTACCTAACTTCTAGTTAAGGTAGTACTCTTAGGTGTCACTGTGATGTATTTGCAGCAAGCAAAGAAAGAGATTGAATCAACAGAAAATTCCAAGTTTTCCTAGGAAGGTCACAGGCACTGTGCAGTTACATTTCCTCTGTATCTTAGTGGACGAACAAATATACTTGTCCCTAGCATTGTGACATTGATGAATGAGTGAATGCTAGTCCCAGGTGCAATGCAAGTTGTTATCTCGAATAGTCCACCTTGCTTTCATGTAGTAAGGCCTACTATATGTGCTTCTGATAATTTAAATATTTTTGCCAGCTCTACAGCATAAAAAGCCAAATGCCTGTTTTTTTAGGTTAACATTGAAGATTCCTGTATGTGTTTCCTTCCTGTGTACCGAGAAGACCCAAAATATAAAATTTTGGTGTTAACAGCTCCACAGGATAAAGAAAAAGGTCAGATTTGTGTCCATATATTTTGAAAATGGATTGAGTCTCCTTTTTGTTTTACTTCAACGATGCCCAGTGAATGTAAGCAAATTTCTAGCATGACATTCTTTAATTTCACACTGTGTTTTGAACATGAAGTAGATTTAGCTAATATGTAACAAAAACCTTTTAAAAGGTAATATTTGGAGACTGTCTACTGGCTAGAATGGGAGATTGATATTCAGGTCTCTGAGTTCTATTCCCGGTTCTGCTGCTAATGGGAAGACTAAGCTTGGGTATATTTCTCTTCCTATCTCAGCATTTGTACCATGGGGATAATCAGACTTTTCTACTTAAGGAAGGCTATTGTGAAACTTTAATTAATTAATTAATGTTTGGTTTGAACTTTGAGATTCTTGAAAGACAGGAAATACAGAAATGCAAAATATTCTGATATGTTATGAAGATTGTATCTTATTAACATTCCTGTCTTTTGTAATTTTCATTTGTGGTATCCACCTCCTCAATACTATGTTCAATTGCCCCATATTTGGGGGCTACCTTTTGAGAGGTAAATCCAGACATTCACTCAGGAGTTGAATTAAACTCATTTTATTGGCATATCTGTCTGCTTTATACTCTGCGCCAGCTAATGCTCTATTTATTACAAGTAATGTTGGAGTTTTCTTGTTACAGCCTTATGGTCCCCATAAATGGAGTTGGACACTTCCTTGCAGTTAGTAGTTGTAGAAATGGGTGCATACTGGCATTTCTACTGCAAAAGTCATTGGCTAGGTTATCACCAAGGCCTAGGGATTTGAATTATGATTGTAGTTTTAGTTTTTTGTCCATCCTTCAGTGATCACTGTTCTACACAAAATGTGTGTTCCTACATGCGTTCTGATTTCTTTCTATTTAACTCCATCAGTCAATAGACTGTGTGGCCACAATCCAGATGGGACTAACAACACTGATAATAAATAGCAAGTTATGATGCCATAGTCTTCAGCAGGGACTGAATCCAAGTCATTTAGCACCAAAAGCATTGTGCTGTGTTATTATAGACTAACACAACTACCCCCTGAGACTTTTAACATAAAAGAGAGCAGTTTGAGAGCACTTTTTGAAAGAAGCTACTAGAAAGAAAGAATCATGTACACCAGACCAATGAGCAAGTACATCACTCTTGCAGTCTGTGCTTTTGACTCTAACTTAGTCCATCTTCTCCCACAATACAGCAATAAGCAAAAACCACCATTGCAATTAAAAGTGCCTCTGCATATTTTATTTCTGAAGTAGGGATGTAAGCAACAAGTCAACTAGTTGACTATCCAGTAAGCATAAGCATATTGGATAGTCGAGTAGTGACTTGACTAGTCGCTCTCTCCACATTTCTGCTTCTATCAGAGAGGCAACAAGGTGGGGGAGCAGCAGCTGGTGATGGGGGGAGCCAGCTTAAAAGCTGGTTCCCCACAGCACCCTCTCTGCAGGGAGTAGGGGAAGCTGAGGCACAACGGGGAAACTGTGTGAGCAGGGATGAAGCAGTCCCCACTTGTCGGATTTTGGCTGCTGTGTGAGTGGGAACTGCAGTTCAGCCTTGAGTCCCTACTTGCCCCGTCTCCCTGCGGCACTTCTGCTTTTGAAATGTAGCAAGAGCCCCACAGGGCTACTTTGAAGTAGGAATAAGAGATCCTCCGGAATAGGGCTTTATTCCGGAGGATCGGGCCAGTCTAGACCCTTTTTTTATGGCTTTTCCCCAAGCCGGAAAAAAAGCGGCGGACATGTTTATTTAAATCCCGCGGGGGATATTTAAATCCCCCCACGGATTTCCCTATTCCAAAGTTAGAAATTAGCATGCCCCTTCCGAAAAAGGGGCCAGTGTAGACGTAGCTGTACTGTATACAGAAGCATTTTAACTGTTATTTTCCAAATGCTTTTCCAGGTAGCGGGTTATTTTTATCAGCTTTTGATTTCTCCTGGTATTAAACACTCATAGTCCTCCATATTTTAAGTCTATTTTTTGTAAATTGGTGTTTTAATAAGTGCAAAGTTTAGTGCTTATTTCATTAGTGTATTTTATTTTCATATGACTGAGTGGTTTGATTTTAATGAGCCATGCCTGCTTTTAACATTTAGCCTAAATAGTTAGCCTTTCAAAGTACTTTACAGTCAGCTTCACTAAATGCCATACATTTGACATCACTTTGTAGTTTCCCTTAGTCTTCAATAATATTACAGTATGGTCATGATATGTATTAGGGTGCAGGGATTTAGATTCTGGTCTCTGTATCTAAACAAGATCAGAAATGGATGTCATGAGGTGGAGAGAAATATTGAAGTTGCTTTTCCACAAAACATCCTTCTCAGTCTTTATCTGGGTTGGAGGTATTTGTTTATTTGAAATGGACTTGCCGTTCTGGTATGTTGCCACAAACATTTTTATGAGAATGTAAATTGTGTTGCAAGGACTTCTAGAGCATGATATGGGTGATGAATATCTTTACCATCCAAAATAAACAAGTATATACTGTTGTGTATGTTAAATACTGAATGTTCTGTCCTTGCTAGAAAGATTTTTCAGTGAGAGTGATTTCTAGTAATTGCCAGATGCCACAGAAATGTGTAATACGTTATTCACAACAAATCACTGAAAATAATTTAATTGTAGTGGGAAAACATAATTTGGTTGCAAGAAAATTATTCTTGGTACTTATGTGTTCCCCATTACCAGTATCTCAGTGTGCATCACTATCTTTAATGTATTTATCCTGACAGCACTACTGAGGTAGGGAAGTACAGTAAAACTCCATTAGTCCGGCATCCAATGCTCCGGGACTCCTGATGGTCCAGCACCGTCAGGAACCCGGAAGTGCTGGGGCAGCCGGACAGGCTTCCCCCATTCAGCTGCAGCTGAAACTGACCAGCAGCTGAATCAGGGAAGCTGGGAGCAGAGCAGCTGGGGTGCTGCCGGGTTGGTCTCGTAGCACTGCCCCTCGGGGCTGCGGGACCAACCCGGCAGCACCCTAGCTGCTCTTGGGGATGCCTGGGGCAGAGCAGATGGGGTGCTGGGTTGGTCCTGCAGTGCCAAAGGACGGCGCTGTGGGACCA